CGGCTGGAGGCTTTGGGCCACAGCTCTAAGGGGGGGCCGTGGGGGCAGGGACTTGTGGGTGCTGAGTTATTCATGGGGGGTGCCGGGGGGGGCCTAGTTCCTGGGGGCTGAGTTTCGATTCATTCATTCATTCATTCATTCATTCATTCATTCATTCATTCATCCATTCATTCATTGTGTTTATATAGCCGCCCATCTCACCTAAAACTGACTTCTTAAATAATATATGACATTTCTATCCCGCCTTTCATTCAGGCGTTCAAGGCGGTACATACCTAGTTCTGCCTCCTGCTCTTTTCCATCACCGTAACCATTTTGTGAGGTGGGCTGAGCTGAGAGGGAGGGGCTGGCCCAAAGTCTCCCAGGGGACCTCCTTGGCTGAGGATGGATTTGAACCTGGGTCCCCCTTGCTTCTTGTCCAGCACCTTCCCCAAGAATGGCTCTTGGGCCGAGAGGGAGGGACTGGCCCAGGATCCAGGTGAGGGCATATCCTTTGTGAATGGCAAGGTCTACCTGTATGGAAACGTCAACCGGCCTCCTGTCCCACGATGGCTTTATTTATTTGTTTATTTGTATTTCAAATTTAGATACCGCCCATCTCACCAAAAAGTGACTCTGATGGCTTTGATGGTGGTGCGTTGGAGCGATCGCAGCTCCTGTGTGCCGCTGATCACAGTGGGTTTAAAACTGTGATATTAACAGTGGCATTTCTGCCAGGCCATCAGCGCAAGGTGTGCGTTCTCAGAGAAGCAGGGGGAGTCGAGCTGAGGTTGAAGGGAACTGAAACTCACTAAAGGAGGCAGAAGGGGGACAAGATTTGCTTGGGAAACTGACGAAGGAGTGTGTAGGTGGGAGGAAGATGGAGGCGGACTGGTATTTAGGAATGTTTAAAAGAAAGAAAGAAAAACTGTGTAAAATGTACAGAAACAAATACAGATTAGCTTGACGCTTGCTTACATTTGCAGAAAACTGGAGTAAAAACTGAACACGTGCACCAGAGGCCAGGGCTATCAACCGCAAGGCGACTGGTCTGCTAAAAACATACAGCTGGGGGTTTTTTGCACCCAACGGCAATTGCACGCTCTAGGTGTGCCTCGCGCTCACTTTCAAAACAGCAGGTATTCAGCGGCATGGTTTGCCACAGACGGCCGCGCTCTGGACAACAACTGGCAAGGGAGGGTCAGAAGCACATTGAAGGGAGATCAGGGAAGACCGATCCCCATGTGGGTATAAATGTTCTTAAAATACGTGCACATCGCTGACAGCCACCAGAGGGGGCCGGGGTGAGAGGAATATGGGGGAGGAAGGAAAGAGCAGTGAACAA